TAAGCATATTTTAGTGTTAGGGAATATCATTTATACCATTTTTATATTGTCAATATTGCCCCTAGAGAATGAGATTAAGCTTCAAACTACTGTAAATCTACAGTTTTGCTCACCTTTGTATAATTTCATTTTTTAATAGAATGAAGCCTACATAAATGAATATTTGATTAAGGGATAAACCTAATAAAAGAATACATTTACTGCACACAGATTTATTCAAATCTTGACTATATAATATAGTAAAATGCTATAAAATGGGTATGTAGTTTGCAGTCCACTACAGAGGAGATAGTGAATATTGCTCATCAGTATGAATTTGCCCATATCTCATTGTGTTTTCTCTACCACCTGCATCAAAGACACTTTTAACACTTTATCTTCTTGTATGTGGGGGTTATATGGCATTATTGAATGCCACAGACTGAATTTTAAGTGACACACACTTAGTTATGATGTTTGGAGTTAAATTCCAAGCTGTCTTAAACCCATGAGTATTTAACTACTTTCTATCCATGTATTGACAATACAACTACAAAGATAGCTATGCTCTCTAGGGCCTCCAGCTTTACATTAACCTTCACAAGTATTTTACATTCACTAACTAGGCTTCAACATGGAAATAAAGGGAATGCCACCTCTGAATTAATGAGGTATTGTCTTTTAATACAAATTCCACAGACCTACACATGACAGCACCAAAACAGAAGGTGGCATATTTGCTAACAGACTAGAACAGGAGTTCTCACCCGTGTTATGGAGCATGGGGTAGTAGTTTGCCAAAGTTCTAGACTCCTCTCCTGCCCCCTCCCTCACACGCATCTAGTCGAATGAGCAAATATGGAAAATTAGGCTGTCTTGAATTCTACTCCTACCTTTGGCTCTGTTTGTCTTGTGAAACCTCACCAGTGCTGCATCATTTTGCCTCAGGACATTCCTATGAAGCAAATTAAATGCCACTGCCCCATTGAACAGAGAAAATTGACACTTGGAAAAATTACATGACAAAGTTTAAAAAGAAAGCCTGTTTCAAGACCAGAATTAAAGCCATTCTACTAGACTACATTAACCTCAGGCATAACTTGCCTTTACAATGCTGACCCTCAGTTTTTAAATAATGTTACATTTATCACAGATAAAATCAAGAAATATATAACATTTAGTATGTCTACAGAACTGAGCCTCAGCTAAAGTGCTTTAGGTAAATCATTTTAAGTCAGGTAACTGACATCACCCTCAACACTGAGCAGCAGCTGGTACCATTAAATATCACTGGATTTCACTATTTTCCATAGGAGATGTCCTGAAAAAGTAGATTTTATTGTGAAGAGTGCTATCCTGTGTAAAGATATTTAGTCCTCAATAGTGCCTTTTATCCTGGGTTCCTTCACTAAAGGTAATGTTAGGGTGCTGTTGTAGCCATTCATTAAGGTGAAATTCAGCACTGTGCAGAGGACCAATGGAAGCTCTTTGTCCACATGGAAAAACAATAATGTAAGTTTCAGAGTGGGCCTTACGTGATGCCTAGACCTTTTGTTTACACGTTGATTAACGACCTGAAGTGAGCTTATACCCATATAAAAAGCCACATAGCCTCCCCATTTTCCTTCCCTTCCATATGTATAAGTAAATGTGGAGAACTGCCTGAAATGTTCAGAACCAAATGTTTTGGACCACCATTTTTTTTCCAAAGCTTTTTCAAAAGTTGAAAGTACCTATCAAAGATATTCTTTCTTTCTCTCTCTTTCTTAATAGTAAGAGCCCCTTTTTTGACTATTTTCATATCTATTAGTTATCCCCAAAGTAACATGTTTGACAAGGTAACTTGTACCCTGTGTTTGCTAAAAATAAATTCTTAACCTCTTTTTCTCCCCATATATAAATGCAAACTGACTTATGCAGCCACTATGAATGTGCTCTTTCTCTCTCAATATGTACAGCTTAAATCAGGTATACAGAAGTATTTAGATGCCCAATGATATTTTAAAAACTAAGTTAAGCGCTAATTCCCATTGGCCTTCACTGGAGTGATCAAGGCCCCTGACAAATGTTAAAATAATGTCCCAATGAGATCTGATCCTTGATACTGCATATGAATGGCAGGATACACAATTGTTGGAATCAGGGACTCGTGTCTTTATTTTAACAAGAACCGTGTAGCCCAATTAGGGTTAGCAAGGTTCCTGCCCAGAGGAGCATAACTCTCCCCCGTACCCATTAGCCCAGCTGAGCACAGGCAAGTCTGGCTGGTTGAATATCTGGCCCTGGAGCTCCCTCAGGAGCTGTGGAGGAAGGCACACTCAGATGCCAGACTGGAAGAAGTCTCATTGTTCACTGCAACCTAGCAGGGGCTTTTTGAAGGAGTTTCTATGATTATCAAGAGAAATTGGGCCAATTAATATATATTAGTTAGCCCATACAAATACCTTTTAGTAAGGATAAACAATAGTACAATGGGATAAACAATCTCCAGTCTTTGGTCAGAGGAGCTACTGTGCATCTGTTTAAAAAAAAAGACTCCACAAGATTTGCATTTCTACTTCCACACTCCCAAAGCTTAACATTTGCCTGTATAAATCTTAAGATAATAAATTTACTCAGTCAGAGAGCCCCAAATGTCATTTTTGTCACTCCTTTTGAGGTTCCCAGGCTCCCAAACATTCCTCTAGAGATGCTTTGTCCCTGGCTTTTCCTGATCTTTATTCTTGTTTATATCCAAAATACATATTAAATCATCTCTGTTTGGAGAGTATGAGCCCTCTTTAAAAACATGAAACATTCAATTACTAATTAGCTGTTTCCTGTTGCTAATGAAGTGAGCATGTCGAATTTGGATTAAAATTCAGCTACTGCTCTCCTCTGTTTATGGTTCCAGATGTTTTTGTTTTATCTAGGAGGTTACTTTGACAGCTACTCCTAAATGATAAATCACTCATATTATAGCTGAAATGCATTTTGAAATTGAAATGTGGCAAACTTTGAGATTGCTCCAAGGATCAGTGTCAGTTAGCAGGTCAATACTGGTTCTTTCCTTATGAGTATTCAGTATTGGCATATGTAAAACAGTAATGGGATAGATGTCAACATTATACAAAATGCTGCTTAAGATTATCATTTTGCTACCATCTTCAAAATCAGTACTAGTGGGTTTAACTGTATGAAATCTTAATTCATTGTAGAGTGAACAGAAATATGGATTCATATTAGCTTTGGCTTTTTATGAACATCCTAAAAGGTTTTTTGTTCCTTTGGCTTAAAGTTGATTATATGAAAGAACTTCACATTTGTATCTGGTTATATTTTTATTAAATATATTAATAAATTCCTATTTGCCTCCTTAAATTAAAAAAAAATTAAAAAGCGGAGTTTTTCAGGTTAGAAGAGCATTTTTTCTAAGGAATATAGATACTGATTTACTATTGTTACCATGTTGATTTAAAAAATGTTTATTTAAAACCCCCACAAAAAATGAAAAATATTGTCCTGCAAGTGGTTTCAGGTATGTAATAACTATATTTTGCATAAGTCAGCTGCACTTATTTCTATATTGCTCTGAATACTCCATGCAGTACATCATGACCTATGTTCTGAAACGAAATGTTTTTAAATAGGTCATAGAAAGAAGAATTAATGGGAAACTAGATCTTAAAAAATTTATTCAGAAGGAGAATGTAGCTTTTCTATTCTTTCTGAACTGCAGCACTATGAATATTTGAGTCTCACTATGAGTACCAGGTGCTAGTGTGGCAGATTTCAGTGGAGTTATAAAACCATAAAACTAGTGTAATGCTGAGATGAAAATCTAGACCACAGTTTAAGGCACTAGGAAGGGGTTAGTCATACAGGAATTGGAGGGGAGAAGAGGAATATTGTTTTGTTCTTTTTTAAATATGCACAACCAATGCTTTCCCTGACACACACTCCTTGCAATGTACTACAGCTCTATGGAATATAACTCAATGCAAAATTTTGGCTATAGGTTTAACATCTAAGTTTAGGGTTAAGAATACTGTCTGTTTAGTTTAATAGTTGACCTTGAGTGCTAAAAATTAGAGACGATTAATCTAGTTTGGGGGGATTTATATGGTTCTCAGATGCCGATAGCCACCCCAGCAAACAAGTCAGGAAGGAGACTGACCCTTTAACCAGGAAGGTGGTTGAACAGAAAAGTTCAGAAATATGAGGCAGCTAATAGGGCTCTCTAGATTTGAGTATATGGAGCTGAGCAGTGAGTGTACATATGTAAAGGAGTATTGTTGGATCATGGATGAAGTTGTAGAAGATAAATTCTACAACTGAAGTCAAGGCTGGAAAGGTTAACAGAAGTCAAACTCACTACCAGATAGGTCAAGGTGATGCACTGCAGTAACCATTTTAGATATTTAATGTTTCATTTGTTTATTCATAATTATATTCCTGAGATCCTTTTAGCATGGAAGATTGTTAAGACACTAAACTAATTTCTGACATAAATGAGATTTTAATTTTCTAGTTCCTTATAAGTATCTGATTGCCTCTTTTTCACAGATAAGACACTCACTTGCCCTGTGGTATATCCGTATGTCTGTATTGCCTCCATTGTGATCCCAAGACCACCACTTGGAACCAAGCCCTGCCTACTCCCTCCCACTCTATGTGCAGCACATACCAAAAAATGTTATGCCGTCACCATTAGAGCAGTACTAGTTGTGCCCTGCATCAAGCTTAGAGGCACACCTGGGACAGAAAGCCTAAAAGGGGCCCTGGGCATGTGCCAAAAATGTCATTATACTACATTTTTCAGCATGCAAGCAGAGGTTTATTTCTCAACAAGTTTTGGGATCAGCTATGAAGGTAGTATAGATATACCACAGGTCAGTTGCAGATCAGATAATTTTACAGATAATTAACCAGATAATTCAACACCCCCCCCCCAAAAAAAAAACCCCCTCCAAACCAACCCTAAGAGGTTCAATTGTAAAATATATAGATCATTTTGTAATTAACGTTTGTTTTTTTTCCAGAAAACAGAACATACATCAAACCTACCATCATGTACTGAAGGAAAATCCTATTGTTGAAAAATGTATAATGATCACTATCTGAAGACTATATAGTTCATGAAAAATGTCCCTACCAACCTTTGATGCCTTCAGTGCTGTATGAAGAAAAGGATTTGTAGCATGAAACTTGAAGGACAATTTCAAGCAATTTACTGTTGCTGCATCGAAAACTGCCGTATTGTCATTAAGAAATATTGAGACTTTTTACAAGCTTACCATACCAAACCAAGCCTGTTGCAACAGATCATTTTTAAGTCCCAGAAGATAGAAAGAAGTTTTAGTATTTTTAAGCACATACAGGAATTATTCCCCAAAAAAGAACTAATTTTTTTTAAGGAGGTAGCGATTACTGTATAGCAATGGCACAATGATTTTAAGCCACAAAGGTCCTCGCTGGCTGTACATCATACAAGTCCAGTTTATCACTGAAACTGTCCAACATGGAGCTGTTTCAATTGTGTTTATAAATTAAGCTTTGTTTACTAAGCTGATACTCCATATATATTACGTTTTGAAAAGAAATGTGTGTACATTTTTTAAAACGATGTAAAAATTGTCCTTTCATTAGATGACCAATTAAAGAGTGTGAGCTAAACCCTAATAGCTGATGTAATATGAGGATTATAATTGATGCTTTTTTATGCTCAGTTCAGCTTGGCTTTTGGTCTTTTAAGATGAAAAAATGAATATGCAGTAGTGTTAGACAATGAAAACTTTTAAGTATGGTTTCTCTGTTGTACCATATTAAGTTAAAGTACACATTCTTTGTTAAAATGTTCTTGCTAAGAATACAGTATTAAAAACTTTTTGTTTGACTTTGGAAATCTTTTAGATTTTTTTGGATATGGATACCCACAGTTACTAGGTTAATGAAAAATGATATTTTATACTATTAAATATTTCTTTTTAAATTAATAACAAGGGGGGGCACAAAAAAATTCTTAGTCACACACAGAATTTTCCCCACAAACCTGGAAAATTGCTAAAGCCATTTCTCTATTTAAACAGGCAATTGAACAATGCATTGATCATGTTGAATGAATCAGTTGATTGTTCAGTTTCCACTCTTTAAGCCTAGATGTATTATTCTGCTGTTAGATAAATACCAACTTTAGGAGACTTTAAAAAGTGATGAGATAAATATTAGGCATGGCTTCTTGATTATACTGTGCACTGTCAGAGGCCTCACATTCTGTTCCCAGTCTGGTCTTTGCTTCCCCAAATTGACAGCACTGCAGAGCCCGGATTCTGCTCAGCCCTTTGCTCATAAGAGAAATTATCCTGCTGTTAGTACTGTGACAGAAAACCCTTGCGCTGTTTTTGAAAGAGTGTTGATGGATGTTCAATGGGATTCCATTGAAGACATTGGCCTTGCTTCTCAGCTAGTAGGAAGCAGAAAAGCTTTTTAGTCTCTGTGGAATCTAATGCAACTAATCTGATTTTTGCCAGTCGAATTTGGGTTTATGGCTCTAATTCAGTACTGGTATGGCAGATCCAGTTCTGCCCAGTTAACACTAGTGATGAATTTGGTCACTGACCAAAAGGAAGGAAGATGCTTGCTTTCACAGGTCCTTGTTAAAGACTGTTATCATGGGCAATCTTTGACTCTTATTATAGACATCAAAAATTGCCATTATCCACAGAACATGGAAGGAAAAACCCTCCAAAAAGTAAATAAAAGTTTTGATTCCCAATCGCCAGGAACAGAGTAAAATAAAAACAAAATAGACAGCAATTGAAATTTCTGACACAGCCTGGCTGATTAAAGAGCAAACACTTTGCCTTACATAAATTCAATGTCATTACTCTTTTAGTCTCTTTTTCTCTAACACCCCCACCACTCCTAATATGTGCTGGCTTCTGTGGAACTAACATGGAGGAAGTACAAAGGATATGACCCAAATAGAGGGAGCCTCAAAGAAAGAGGAGGTTCTTTCTCCTCAGTACATACATGATGATATAATTTCCAACATGGGTTCAAAATACAAAGAGGAGATTTCCTAATAGAATAAGTCAGTGGTGCTGCATGTGAGGACTAAATATACATATATACAAATATACATATAACATGTTAAAATTAACTAGTTAAAAGCACATAAAAGTGCAGTTAAAGTCTCTTCAGTTGATTTTAAATATAGATATTTTATTAAAGTAACATTTGTGGTTTGTATCCAAAGATGATCCGAGGGCTTTCAGAGGTGCTAACTCTATGAAAAGGAACAGCCACTTGGGTACCCTGGCATTTCATTACACTTCAGTGCAGTATCTGAAACACCTTGTGGATAACTCTTGGCAAATGTTAGCTTTTTATTAGCAATCGCTGTATTGATTCTTATGTACCCTTATATGCCTAGTAATCATGTGCTTCTCTCAATGTGCCTGTTAATAATGGTGAAAAATTTAAATGGGCAATGTTAATGTTTCAGCTGTATGTTATAGAAATATAAGTGTTTGAATGCAGTTGATTATTTTCTCTAGGATATTTTTTCTCTAATACAGTGCTTGGGTACTAGACATTTGCTGATTTTGAAAATGCACCTTCAAACTACAGTAACTAGTATATGCAGAAAAAAATTACTGGACTTTTTGAAAAGTTATGATTTGGTTTTAACAAGAATTAATTCAAGGAAGCCTAATAGCTTATGCCTATGTTGTTATGCAGGCAATTGAAACGGATAAGCACAACAGTGCCGTCTGGCTTTCTATCTTTGAATAGTTTCCTTTTTATAGTATTGCTTAGTTTTTTTCTCAGTGCTGACGCACAACAAAGTTGGGGCATTTTAATTTCAACATCTGTAAGAAACATCTTTCTATATGATTAAACAAGCAAAAGTACATTAAACTACATCAGAAGCAGGTTACATGAAGTTGGACTAACCATTGTACCCATAATAAAAAATAATCGTGCCTATGACTTAAGCACTGCAACTAACTCTATACCTGGCTATTGAGAATTGAATTGTGAAACTACACATGATTCAGAAAATAATTATCCCAGTATTTATGCCATACTACTGAAATAGACACTATCTGTGTGTGAGATTCTATAGAATTCTAAAAAGTATGCTAATCTAAGAACAAATTGCTATGCCAGAATCAAATTCAGATTCATTCTTAAAATTTTGCAGCCTAAAATGCCTTTCAGGTCTAATTTATTCAGGACTAGGATCCAGACTCTTGTTTCTGGAAAAAAATGAAAGAGAGTTTAAAAACTGTTAAATGTTATAGTGAGTTACTATTAATTAGAACAGTTTGAATATATTTCAAACCATCCAGGAAATACCTACCATTGATACAAGTAACACTTAAAATAATTATTTTTTAAAAGACCAGAAGAAAACAAAGGAAAACTATTTACTAGTAGTTGGGTTTGATATAGTCCCCTTTCTTCTACAACAGAAATAGTTGGGGCAGTTGCTTAATAGGACAAGCAGTATCCAAAAAGAAAGAGGCCTAATGTCCTGTTTGCTTTGCTTTTAGTACAAATGGAGGCCATCAAATTGCATGCAAAACATGGAATCAGAGTCCATAGTCCTCACAAACAGCAATGCTGCTGGAGGGCTGATTCTGCTTCTTATCCTCCAAGACAGGAAAGGAACTGAGGAATTTCAGGGATAAAAGGCAAGACTTGTAAGTAAACTCCCAGGAAAAGGGACAGACTTTTGAGGGGCACCTTCATTACAGAATGAAGTAGTAATGGGTTTGTGAACTGGCATATGATTACCTGAGGTAGCTGTTAAAATAACTGAATTAAAACCCTTTTTGGAAAGTTATAAAGCATCTTGATTTTTTGCTAACAAGCAGAAACTATTATCAATACCTCTTCAAATGACCTATGTAATAAGTATGCTCTGCTTAGAAATGGAAAGCAACAGGACTAAGCCAATGTTATCACAGTGGGCATTTATACATGTACATTTTTGTGCCAGGATGCACTGGAGATCTGGTGCATTGAAGCAGACTCGATTAATTGGAGCTGATGCGCACTGCGCTGCATCACATGCAGTTGTACAAGTGGCAAAATGCATGTCAGCACACAGAAAATGGCAGTGGTACACTTTTGAACTAAAACACTTTGATGTGTTTTACTTCAAAAGTGCTCTGCCACCATTTTCTCAGTGCTGATGCATATTTCACTGCTTATACCACTGCATGCACCACAGCACCAGGTGCTTTTAGAAGTGCCTGGTGCTGCAGTGCAAACGTGCATATAAATGCCCAGTGTTCCTGCTACTGCTGAGGAAATCTGCAATCTCTGAAGAGAAATCCTTCTCATGGAAGTATCTCTGCCGAACTTCCCTGTTCCCATTTTAGAAGGGGAGTTTGACCTAGGAAATTAGAGGAGTCTAAACGTGGTTCACCGGTAGGTACATGACTTTCAAAAACCCTGGATGGCAAGAACAACAAGAACTGAGCAGTATCAGCACTACCTTTCTGAATTCCCTTTTCATCCTCAAGACAGTGCAGTGGAAGGAAAATAATATCTCCATTCCCATGTGAACATGTGTTCACAAAGGTAAATGTTCCATGGGAGGATCAGGTCTAAAATGGGGTTCTGATATCTCTGCTTTCTGGTATCTCCCCTGCTAAGGGTTCCCCCAGTTGGATCCCAAAGAGGCAAATGGTACCAAATAATTTGTAGCGTGCTCCTATTCTCACATTCCAATGTTCAATGTAATGCACAAAACCATCTATAATTATCTTCCAACCGGCCACCAGACTTATTCTGGTTTGGGCATAAAAGTCCAAGTGACCTTAATCGTTGACACAAATGGTTACAGGTAAATGTAAAAAGGTAAAAAGTTCTACCCTGAGCTATTACTGTCTTTAATTCATGAGTATGAAAATGTGTGCCAGCTTAGAAATCCCTTCCCAAATAAAATTATGTGGAGAACTACAAAAACCTTCAATGAGGAGTGCTTAGAAGCCCATGATCCCCTATAATAAAGGTGTCTGCCAACGTAGTCATTGTGTATTCTTATTTGACAGCATTAAAACAGCACTAACAACCTTGACTGTGGGTGCATTTACACGTGAATATTAATGCAACACAATAAACTCCAATGCAGCTTGCACCAAAATTTATTGCCCCTCAGCACAGTGTTTACATGTGCACCCAGGACTGCAGCATGTTGAGCCAGGTTGGAGCAGCCTTGGCTGGCAAGGGATCCGGGGGCTCAGCCTGCCAGCCTGGGGCTGCTCCTGCTCAGCTCAACATACTGCAGAGATTGTGACTGGGACTGACTGGGGCATGAGCATGTTTAGAGCACAGGGGTAGCCAGCAGGCAGCTCTGCATTGTAGCACTCTCGTGCCCCAGCCAGCCCCAGTCGCAATCTAAATGTGCCTTGCAGCAGAGTAAATAACTCCAACGTAGAACAGTATTTGTGTTGGGCAGTACTATCCTATGGTAGAGTTAATTAGTTTACTCCAGCCTAATAGTGCCACTCGTGTAGACCAGTGATACTTTACTGCAGAGCTAATTAGGCAACTGCAGTAAGCATCTCATGTTAGATGCATCCAGTGTCTCTTTGAGCACATTTAAATTGCAGCGGCAGCATGGCATAGCCCTGAGCACAAGCATACCCACCTGCTCCTGCTTGTAGGCCCCAAAACTGGAGATATACTAGCAAAGATACTGGGTTATTCGCAGTGGCCAGCCTCAAGGATGCTGAACATTTCAGTTTAGGCTTTTACTGGAAGCTACTTATGTTGATCTTGTTGCTAGAAAGGAAAAGAAACGCCTTCATATCTAGCTTCTGGGAATATTTTATCAGTCATTAGAGGGGCTAAACATTGGCATTACTAGCTCTATTATCTCTTAAACCTTAGCTAATCATAAACTTTCTCATAGATTTATACACTGATCCCTATGAACAGTTGAATGCTAGAGTATTAAGAAATATCTTTAAGAACTTAGCATTTTTGCATTTTCTTTGCTCTAAATAAAGGCACTTTAG